GGGTTTAGGGTTTAGGATTTAGGGTTTAGGATTTAGGGTTAGGGTTTAGGGTTTAGGGTTCAGGGTTCAGGGTTTAGGGTCCTGGCCATGGCGTAAGAACTGCCTTGTTTCATGGGCACTCCTCGAAAAGCCCCGCGGACTCTGAGAAGCCCGGAAGCCCAAACCCTAAGGTCCTAATTCACGAAGTGCGCCTTCGGGGTCAGAGCAACAATACCCTAAACCCTAAACCCTAAACCCTAAACCCTAAACCCTAAACCCTAAACCCTAAACCCTAAACCCTAAACCCTCAGCACAAGCGTTGCCGCAACAAGCCTTTCTTTACGGTTTCGGAGACTTAGACTTTACAGAGGCTTTAGGAGTGAGGACCCCCTTAAACCCTAAACCCCAAACCCTAAACCCTAAACCCTAAACCCTAAACCCCCAACCCTAAACCCTAAACCCGAAACCCGAAACCCTGTTCGCCTTGAGGGTTTAGGAGCATTGCTCTCGCAAAGCGCCCCACCCGTTTTGGGTTTAGGGTTCGGGTTTGGGGTTTGGGGTTTAGGGTTTAGGGTTTAGGGTTTGGGGTTTAGGGCTTATAGGGTTTAGGGTTACCCACCCCCCACCAGCTCAGCCAACTGGTTTCTGATTGCCATTCCTGGAGTCAGGGGGCCAATCCTCTCAAAGACCTCAATGAGCCATGAAGCAAAGACCGCCAGAAACTGGACCATTCCGGACAAGTGCGACAAACTGCCCGTAGCCCTGACAATGCCAGCAGCCAGGTGGACATATTTCTTGCATTGGCGACATCGGCCAGACAAAGTCTAATCCTGCGACGAACCCTAAACACGCCACGGTCTGTACCTTTCCCAGAACCCTGTCCAGGTCCGTGCAGGGGTGGATCCACAGCCTTGGCACCCTAGACTACAACTGCAGCTAAGTTGCTGCGTTCATAAGCCCAACCAAAAAGTGCACACTTTCAGTTCTATAGGGGGTTATAGTATCCCAAAAAGTGTAAGGTGTACTCCTTCAGCTTCTAAGACACTTTAGGAGCATTACGATACTGGAGACCCATCATGGGCCCATGATGTACATAAAGCCCACGTAGGGTATAGCTTGCTTGTTACTGCTTCGTGCATTTGCTCAGCTAGGATCGTTTCCATGCGAGTATCGTCATGGTCATGGCTGTTTTTGGTAGTGGTGGTGGTGGCGGTTTTTCGTCGATGTTCTTGGCGGTAGCTATGAGGCGGCGCGATTTGAAAGCAAGCTCCTTTGTGGGAGTTTACGAAATCAGGGGTACTTTATGGGACCGTACTATTTGGGGTTTATATTAGGGGTCCCCGATTTTCACCCTAAACCCCCAAACCCTAAACCCTAAACCCCTCCTTATTTTCGTAAACCCGCATTTGTGTCACAGCAGCAAAGGTCGAGGACACGTTGGCTGGTGTGGCGGTGGCATCTACTTCGCTCTGAGTGCTGGGGCCACCTACCACAAAGCTGTGGGCGCCACGGCTTAGGATCACAAGAGTTTAGGGCTAGGGTTCAGGGTTTAGGGTTTAGGGTGTAGGGTGTAGGGTGTAGGGTGTAGGGTGTAGGGTGTAGGGTTTAGGGTTTAGGGTTTAGGGCCTGAGAGAACTTTGCAATGCCATCGAGTTTGGGTCTACCCGGAGGCATTCTCTAGAAATGGTGAGCCACTCGAGGCAAAGCAAGATCACCTAATTGCAGTGTCCTGTCAACTGAAGCCCTTGAGGATCCTAAATCCATAAGCCGCGCCATTCGACTAGGGTTTAGGGTTTAGGGTTTAGGGTTTAAAGTTAGGGTTTAGGGTTTAGGGTTTAGGGTTTAGTGTTTAGGGTTTAGGCTTCATTTTAGTTAAGGCCTATGCCACTCATGCACAAGGCAGTGTGCCCGAAACCTAGCCTGCTAGAAGAACACGACGGCTGCCACTGCTGTTCAAGCGCTCCTACCCACCCCTTCCCCCTGTCGCGCCAGCCCCAACTACTTTTCACCGCAATGACTGGGGGGGGGGGGGGGTGGTGGCCTGCTTGCAGTCTTTGATGAGGTTTACTCTTATCTTACTAGATTGTGAAGTCGACTCAAGCTAATCCCCATACCCGATGCCCTCAACCCTATAAACCCTCCCAACCCTAAACCCCAAACCCCAAACCCCAAACCCTAAACCCTTAACCCTTAACCCGTAACCCTTAACCCGTAACCCTACACCCTAAACCCTCAACCCTAAACCCCAAACCCTAAACCCTAAACCCTAAACCCTAAACCCTCACCCCCAAAAATAATGCCAGGAGTGGACTCAGCTCATGGCTTTATCATCGAAGCCAAAGTCGACCTCGGGCGCACCAAGCACATGCCCGCCTACTGCGGCTGGGCAAACCCACGACTTTGAGGGTTTAGGGGTAGGGTTTAGGGTTTAGGGTTTAGGGTTTAGGGTTTAGGGTTTAAGGGTTGCAAGAATCTGGGTGTTGCTGAAGCCTCTGCAACATCCAAACCTGGTTGGGCACAATTTGGTCAGGAACTGCGCAGTGGGAGGTGAAATCCTAAACCCTAAACCCTAAACCCGAAACCCTAAACCCTAAACCCCAAACCTTCCCCTAAACCCTGAACCCTAAACCCTAAACCCTAAGCCCTATCCCTAAAGCCTAAACCCTCAACCCTCAACCCTAGACCCTAAACCCTCAACCCTACAGCAGCTGAAGCCACTCCCGGAGCCCAATCCAGAATCATCTGCAGACGTGTCGCGACTGATTGCCGAAGCAAGCCCTTCACCATAAAACTGGTTCCAGGATGGGCTATTAGGGTTGAGGGTTTAGAGTCTCGGGTTTAGGGGTTAGGGTTTAGGGTTGAGGGTTTAGGGTTCAGGGTTGCAGGCCCTATAATCTCTATAATCAACCCTATAAAGGGCCTTTTTAAGGGGTTATAGGGTAGAATAGCCCACTGGGGAGCACCTGCGTGTGTTTCACTTTGTTGCTCATCTGGGTTTGACGGTTTGACGTTGGTTGCGGCGGTGGCGATCCCTATCTGAACTTGACCAGAGTAGCCTTGCCAGATCGTGCTACCCCTCAGTGAAGCAGGGTGCCGTGAAATTACCCTAAACCCTAAACCCTAAAACCCTAAAACCCTAAAACCCTAAAACCCTAAAATCTAAAACCCTAAACCCTGAACCCTGAACCCTGAACCCTAAACCCTAAACCCTAAACCTTAAACCTTAAACCCTAAACTAAACCCTAAACCCTAAACCCCATCCTTGCATTGGCAACCTCAGGCACTTCCTCCCGCGGATGCTGGGGTATTCCGGTCCAGAGCGCCATTCGATGCATCGACCGGTCCTACCAGGGAGGCGGGGTCCTAAAGACTGGGTAACATTGGGATGTTCCCCCTTATGCCGGTCTTTCAAAGGCACCTGGAGGTGAGGGTTTAGGGTTTGGGGTTTGGGGTTTAGGGTTGGGATGTTCCCCCTTATGCGAACAGCCCTTGATAGGGATTATAGTACGGGGTACTATAATCCCTATTGAGGACTGTTAGTTTAATAGGGAACATCCCAAGGGTAACGCACCAAATGTGGTGAATTTGTGGCGTCTGCTGGTGCAGTGTATTGTTGTGCCTTGTGCCCTTGCGTCAGCAACCCAACATGAACGGCCCAGCCAAGTCAGAATCGGACCCGAAAAGCATGTCCATGCATACTCGTATGTGCCAATCTCCTTGTGTAACTTCCAACCCTTAAATCCTTAAAGCCTGAACTCATAAATTCGTTCAAGCCGACGGGATTGCAAATGTTCAACCTTGCAATCACTGGCCAGTCACATCCCACCCGAAGGAACCTGAACGCAGAAACCCTACCCAGAGCAACCTACCCCTGCAACATCTATGTACAAGGTGTCTGCAGTAAATTCCTCCTGTTTCAGGGTAAAGAGGTTGCTGGTAAAGCTTGTAAACTCAGCACCCATGGACCTCAGGCCGTTTCCAGTCACAAGGACCCTCGGCCGGCACTTACTGAAGTGAAGCAAGGAAGGGGTTTAGGGTTAAACCCTAACAGCCAAAACCCGAATCCTAAACCCTCAACCCTCAACCCCAGACCCTAAACCCCACATTCTGTGGGGGTTTTTGGAGGCCTCCAAGGTTTGAGGATGGTTTAACCACAGAGAATCCAGCCAGAGGCGCAGCAAGAAGCTCAGATTTCCTGCGGTTCTACCAGGAGGGGTTAAAGTTTAGGGTTTAGGGTTTAGGGTTTAGGGTTTGGGGTTTAGGGTTTAGGGTTTAGGGTTTATTCTACCCTCGAAGGCCCCTTTATAAGGTTGGTTATGAGGGCGTTAAGGCTTAACAGCCCATCGCCCCCTTAACAAAAGGGCCCTTTAGAAGGTTGCTGTTGGGGCGTTAACCCTAAACCCTAAACCCTAAAACCCTAAACCCTTTTATTAAAGGCCTAATGAAGCTCATCCTGGCAGATGGTGCCTGTCATGCCTGGCCTTTGCACTCTGTCGCCAGTGCTTGACGTCCTGACGCCCTCAGTCCGCACATCCCTTGTCCCCTTGGTTCTTAGTAGGGAATGAGGGAATTAGGGTATACATATATATATATATATCTATATGTACCCTTTAAGGGATTTTTAGGGCCGCATATATATATATATATACCCTTGAAGGGATTATATAGGGTTCTCATCCCCTACTAAGAACTAGCCAGCAGCCAGTTGTTGAATCTCTGAGGCTATGACTCGGTTTACTTCAACCCCGGCGACGGTGGAGAGTACATGATCTGGGATCCCCGGAGGGTGATTTCCATGCGGCGAGTTCGCTGAACATCTGACGAGCCGTGCCTCTCCAAGGGAGACATGGCTCTACTGGGAGGTTCAAGGGTGCTTAAAACTCCCAATTCTAGCTGTACTTGAATAAGCCCCCTTAGTCCCCTAAGTCTGTTATAAGTAGATCCTTATAATCGGGGTTATAAGTACCCATGAACCTCCAAGTAGGCCATATAGGGTTCACACCTCCAGCGCGCTGGCCAAGAAGGCACGCGCCACTTCGAGATTCAACACAGGTCGCCTCGAATACTTTGGAGCGGGTTTTGCGTGCTGCTGAGGCGCGCAGGGCATTCTGATGTCGCGGTCTTCTGCCACCTTTGTAAGCCGGCAGCCGTTTCTGGCTTAAGAGTTTGAGTGACAGGGGGCGTGTAGTAAGCAACTGTAGCTTGAAGCCAGGTCACGCGGGACCATGCCGCAAGCTTCGCTGACGTTGAACACGAAGACGCCGGCCGGAGAGAGCTGCGCAAAGCTTCGTTCCGAGATTGCCGCCCTGATGGAGCGGCATGAAAGCAGCTTCGAGCTCAGCGCTGGCGGCAAGACCCTGGAGGATACCGACAAAGTTCCCGACTCCCCCGTGACGATCACGCTCGTGAACCTGTCTTGGGAGGGTGCCACCCCAGCTAGGGTGAAGGACCTGGGGGGCGGGGAGTTCACGGTGGTTGGTGAGGCTATGAAGGGAAGCGGCCACTTCAACTTCATGTGCAACACGGGCTTCACTGATGGCGTGGGCTACTTTGAGGTCGAGGTGCTTGAGGGCGACGGCCCCTTCATCGGTGTGACCACGAAGGCCGGCTTCAAGGAGGGATACAAAATCCGCGCCCTCGAGTTCGGTGGTCCCGGCAATCTCTCGGACGGCTCATGCGGCAAGCGCATCGGCTTTGGCGAGCCCGTCAAGAAGGGTTCGGTCATTGGCTTCACCTTGGACCTGACCGATGACAGCTCTGTTGGGATGACTGTGTGGGATGGCGACAAGTGCCTGGGCGAGGCCTACAAGGGCTGCAAGCGTGAGAAAGGGGCCACCGTCTACCCCGTTGTTTGCGCCCGCAAGCCAGGGGATCGTTTCAAGCTTTCCCTGAAGCGCCAGCCACGGGTCCAGGAGAAGCGGACCCCTCATCCGGCCCACAACTCCTGGGAGCTTACACGTTTCGTGCAGGATGGGGCCACCGTCAGCTTGGATGAAGCCCAAACGGCGAAGGGAGCTGGTCGGGGTCGTGCCTACATCGGCCCGGGCGAGCCACCAAAGGGGCATCTCGTGATGCAGCTGGAGCAAAGCGCAGGTGATGCTAACGAGTTCAAGCTGCACTTCAAGCTCTTCAACATCCTGAACACCAAAGTGACCATCACGGGCAGCTCCGGCAGCACAGAGAATCTGGATGTGGGCATGATCGCCAGCACCAGGATGATGTCACCCATTCAGGGTTTCGAGAGCCAGCTCTCAGGAGCACTCTCTTCCTGTGACAGCTGGACGTTGACTGGCTCGGGTGAGAATGCTAAGCTCACCATGCGCAGCTCCGATGTGGAGCTGGGCTTCGATTGGGTCGACAAAGCCATGCAGGAGCCCGTCTCTGACGTGGCCTTGCCCTGAGCCAGCACCTGTCCCCAAACCCTTGGCGCTGCGAGATGAGGTTGCGCACAGAGGAGCACAGAAGACCAACCCCCACTCGGCAGCAGCTCGTGAGAAGAGGACGCGAGCTCTAGGTTGCGACTCACGTTCCTTTTCCGTTAGATTGTCTACCGTGCTTCCGCCCATTGTGGCCGCCGGTGGCCAAGTGTTTCTCACGGGAGTCTGTGTGAGGGATCCTCTGGAACTAGAACTTGATCCTCAACGGCAAAGTGGGCATTTCGCAGGGTCCTTCGGAACAGCTCCGCCATTCTTGTAGGCTTTCTTAGGTTTACGACATCGCTTGAACTCTGCGGATGCGCAGCGCAGAAAAGGATTGTTTCAGCCATAATTTTTATGTGAATCATTTTTCCTAGTAGTTCGCTCTGCAGAACCTCACCCTCTTTCTCCCGAATATTTCCCAGGCTCCCGGCAAGACTTGCCCGAGTGAATCATCACGACTTGATGCTAATTAGCCATTCAACGAGCAGTGGATTTTTTTTTTGCAAGGGTTATCTACTGACGCCCTTAGGATTCGAGCTTGTCAACTCCCACGTGTTGATGGTTGGCTCATCGGCGCACCTAACATGAGTACAGGTACTCTCCTCTCCAGAGAGCAATGTCCGTTTGTCATCAAGCAATGGATTCTTTGGGGCATCATTCCATGACATGTATGGCTGGAGGAGCTCGCACTCGTATGCACTACACTCTTCAAGATTCGATCTATGCGGTCGCGCACAGGCTGGGACTGTATGCGACCACGGCTTGAGGTTGCGTGTCTATTGCCGAATGCCGGTGGTAGACGTTCGGCGGATATGCTTTGTGTCGCCACTCCAACAAAAATCCTCGCTTGGCCTTGGACGGTGCTTCGGGTTCGGCTGGGGACGCCGCGGCATATGCCGAACGCAAACGTCGGGATCGGAATACGGAAACTGGGAACCTGGTTATTTTTGGCAATTATTGGTGGATATGAGATGGTCGTAATCTTTTGAAGAATATATAAATTAGGAATACGACCGGGTTACGAATTCTCCTTTACGCACTTCAAATAGGATTGGGAAACTCGTTTTTCTATTGATATTCAGAGGAGATTCCCTGCCATCTTGTAGAAATGTTGCCACCCAGGGCCATGGATATATTTTATGGAAACGTCACCTCAAAAAGTATGGGGATTTGGGACTCTCTATCTCGAGATACGAATTTGGAATATATACATATATACATAGATGAAAAAAAGATAACAATACAAGATTATATATATATAATAATAATATAAGATGTATTTTATCTCGATTACACCCGGAGACGAATGATCGAATATTTCGCAACATCAATTTCTAAGTTGTGTTTTTGGGCGTAGAAGCCATCATATTTAATGCAAGACTCTCAGATATATCGAAGGAGAGACCGTCTCGAGATAATTTTAATTGTGGGAAGAATAAAAAAAATCGTAAGCCGGAAGAGAAATTTCATGGCCATATCATTAGGATATGATTCGATTTGAAATGAAGATTATAGATATGATTGATTACCTGGAATAATTTAATTAATGAATATCATTGATTTCTATATTCATTCAAATTTATTCAATATCTAGAATAATTTAAGGAATGATTTCATTCTTAGGTGAATAGAAATTTCTCGTAAATCTTCAATTCGATCAATGGCTTCTTTGATTGAATTTATTCTTGTTGATATTCAAGGAATGACTTCTCATTAATAATCTTATTGATGAATTAAGATTATAATTCTATACGAAATTCAATATAATATATTTCGGAATATTCTCGAATGAAAACTTATTTGAAATTTCTATATAATGGATTCTGATAATGAGCCCCCCACCCGACCCCATCATTCCTATTAGAAAAAATATTCTCGGATTTATAACGAAATATTTGAATCGAAAAAATATTGTCGTCCAAAGATGGGAAGTGGTAGGGTTAAATAGATATTGAATTATATTTTTTCTTTCTTCGGCATGGGATATCCCTTTCATCATATTCCGATGAATATTGGATTATCTAGGAATTCGTTTGGAATTTTTGATTTAGGATTAATCGATTATTAATTAGTTGGAGATTTCCATCTATCTTTTGGATATTTGATTATCATTTTCCGGGTTATTCTGGATGATCTTGCTTTATATTTCTTTTCATATTCATCAATGATATATTCTCTATCAATCTAATATATATTTCTTTTCTGATGGAGATCTTCATCATGATTTCGAATATATTCGATTCATATCTCTCATTCATGATTTCGTTCTATTTCTAGTAATTTTTCAAATCGAATTTATATTTGATATAAATATTTATCATTGAAAATTCTATATTCATTGAAATAATCAAATTCATAATAAGGAATGGAGAGAAAATGATAAAATCAAAATCTTTTCATTATAAATTTCAATTTATTTGAAATTTATCCTCCCAGAAAATGAATTAAATATCGTTTAGATCAAATTCAATTCGATATTCCAGAAGATTTATATCTCGGAGAATCCAAACGAAGGAAGATATCGAATTCAATCAGAATCTCCATGAAGATAGATTCATAATTGATCCTCGTATTCTCAAGGAAAGGGGCCCATCATCATTCCCAATATCAATATTAGATGGATATCATCATTTGAAAATGATTTGGGAAACGATCGATACGAAATAAGGATTGCAGGATAGGTCGCCCCAACGAATTTTTCATATTCGAATCTCGATTGATTTCTAAATATCTTCCTCTGAAAGGTGACGATATCATCACGTCTTATGAAATTATAAAGACGCTTATATCTTATATTTCAGAAGCAACGTTGGGCGTACATATAGACTTGCGGGCGTAATCCGACGTGCGAGGATCATATTAGATTCTATGGATCTTGAATATGATATCTTATTTTATAGGATGATTCTCTTTTCGTAGGATCATTGATTATTGAATGAACCAAGATTTGGACGAATAGGATCCATAATGATTTAGATAAATTTTCCGGAGGGTTTCAAATCATTAGATGGGATTGAGGTCCAGGCCTTGCTGGGACCTATATAGCCCTGAAATTATTAATATCCCTAATCTGGACCTTAAATTAAATTCATATGAAATAATGATACGTCCCAACGAGATAAATAAATCGTCTATAAATTTCCAAGATTCTAAGAGCTACAAGGGACCTCATCCTTCGACACAGAGGCCGATAAAGACGCCCAAGATTTATTTTAGAGATATCAATAATGAGACCTCCAATTTCATCCTCATCCCCGACCCCTGGGAATGGAGAGAAATCTTACGATTTAAGGACTTGGTTTGGGGCGCTATTGATTCCTATTGTTGCCCCCCCCCCGTCCCCACATTTTCCCTATCTGGATAGAAATTTCGCTCTGATTTTTTCCAATGATCC